AATTCTGTTGAGAAAATGGTCTTGAATATGAGAGGAGGAAATGAAGGCACGAAGCTTTCGCTGATTATCGGACAGCTCCTGCAAAACCCATTTATCCATTTTCTTTGTCCTGCCTTTGTTTTGTAGATGGCATAAGGAAATTGGTGAAACGCTGGCAAAAGTGTATGGATTGTAATGGTTCTTATTTTGAATAAGTATGCTAACTCTTGGTGAAGTTGTGATTATTGAAATTCAGGTGATGATATTTGGTAATCGTCTTAAATTGAAACTGAAGTTAGAGCAAAAATACAAACATAAAAATGCAATTCTTCTTTTGTCAAATTTTGACCATAATCTGCACCACGAGTGTCACTGTATGCTTGATGTTGATCGAAGTACTTCTCACCATTGTCGTCCAGTGCTTTTTACTACTTCTTATACATAATGAGTGGATACCACGTAAATAGAATATTGCATTTTTAAAATCGATAAAGTCATGGAATCATTTATGTGTTATTTATACAATTATGATTCATTTATGCGTACTACATTGAAGTTGTTGGGGATTGGGTTTATGACATGGACGCCTGTTTACGCTATTTTTGAATGCGCCCCTTTTTTTCTTCGCGTTAATTAATTTTTCTTTCAAATTGGCCACGAAGCCCAGGAAGCGTTTTATGGCTGCAGAAAAATAAATTTTCTGCGGGCCACATACCTTCCCGGTGCCCACTCGTGAACATTCAATAGACATTGACATGTCATAAAACCTTTCGCGTCTCCTTGACCGCCCAAAGTCCCGTTACGAGCGGGCTACCCTTGGGCCTCACTCCCCCGCCATCGCGACACACCACCACCCTGTCAACTTGGAAATTTCAGGGTGGGCGGTATACTCGCGGGCCAGAGAGGACCGTCCAATGGGGTAGACCCGTTTTCATTGGCGGAGACCACCACCTTATACCCCTAAATCTTTTTATAAATAAGCGCACCAACGCGGCGCACATCAGATCAAAAAGGGAAAATAGACAAACACCACATAAACTACCAAAAATAAAGTCTTTTTCTTTTAACACATTAAAATACGTGCAAACTCTAAGTCACCACGACTTCATACCAACAAACAACCCGCACCACGAACCAGCGACAATCCTGCGCCACCACTCTCGAACATACCGCTTGTTCGAAGCGCAAGACGCAACAGAAGTAAATGAAAATCAGAAAGAGGTACAGTGGCGGACAAAAGCAATCGTATACCCTTTGAAATAGAACAACTTTCTCAAAATTGAACCAAATGACTTGCGTTTTTTGAGAAGTTAGAAGAATTGTTTACTAGATGTCGTGTAAAAAAAAAATTTTTGAAAAATTGTAATCGATCGAAATTGCAAAGAAAAACAGTGAACGTCGCTTTTTACAAATTTTTTATCTAAGCTCGTAATGAAAATTTTTAAAAATGCAGAAACAAGCGACACGTATCGAAAGATGTGAGAATCTTTAGATTTATTACAGTTATAGGCCGAAAATCATGAAAAGCTGCTATTTTCACCTAACCGTTTGTAGCTCATAGCAACATTAGAAATAATGTAGTATAAACTTAAGAAATTTTGATTTATCTGTAATTAGAGCGTTCAGAACGTGACTGAAATTATTTATAGACTGGCCTAATAAAAAATAAAAGGAAATTTACGCGTGGACAAATTTTTTTATCTAATTTTAGCTAACTGTTAGTAGTTTTCTATATTTACTTCTGCTTATGTTCGTATTTTTAATCATATTAATTTGATAACTTTGTGTAATTTGTAGCAATGTCAATAATGTGACGTTTTGTTATTTGGTATAATTTTTTAATATTAATTTAATGTCCAACGTTAGGTGATTGGGACACACAATTCTTCTTTGTATTTTAAAATATGCAACATGTAGTAGATATCATATCACAAAATGCTAAAATTCTTTGAATTGGTGGTTTAATCAAAACGTCCGATTAATTGAATCTTTTAGTGGAATGATGTCACCTGCTAACGTAATCCCACGAGCTTAGCACGAGTGTAGCAACGTCAAATCGATTTAAATACTAGAATTGCAATTAGCAGTAAAATTCTTACTAGAAGAAGAATTCTGAGAATTTGAAAGGAATTCTTTTTCCAATCTTCAGACTCAGACAAATACATATAGTTACATGAATAAAATACTATTGCTGGTTAAATTCCAGTATTAATTCAAAATAATAAAGCTAAAGTATCACAATATTACAGTACTGAAGTATCAATAAACTTCTTTGCTTCTTTTACTTTTAAGAGTTTCTTCAAAAATTACAATACTAACACGTTCACTGTCCAAAAAGTATAAATACTTTTGATAAAATAAAAACTACCAAATTATTTCACCTATTTCAGGATAGATTCTTTACATTTAAATGTCACTGTGTAACTTATTTTATTTAACTAATTTTTAGAACAATGCAAATATAGACTTCTTGCTATATGAAGAAAACCTATTAAACAAGTTCAAACTGCCTTGAGTTATACTACTGTATTCAAATATTTCAGGACAAATGGAGTAAAATATAAATTACTCAGCAATATCTATTTGGCTGCCTTCAATATTGTAGCATCGCTGGAACTCGATTTCTAGGATGGTTTTTAGCTCATTTAGCGAATTTTGTTTTGATCAGCGACTCCACAGTGAAAGTTTCAGTCTGGAATACAGGAAAAAGTTGTACGGTGCTTGCTCAGGTGAATAGATACAGTGCTTGCGGGGTGGTTAGTCGAGTTTTTGGTGAAAAATACGAGCATCAGTATCAAACAATAAGCTGGTGCAAAACTCATTAATTATTTTCTCATAAATCTGGCCGTTTTATGTCGAATCACGCGAACGCCTCATGACACTCAAGTATTAGCTCTTCCTGAAAGTTCCCGCAGTTTCAAGCTTTTCATTTTGAGAAAAGTTCGTTAAAATTAAACATTTTTATTGAAAATAATTTCCATAATGTTCGATATACTTTTGCCAACTTATTACAAGAACATTAATTCCGTTTATACAAAACTCCGGATCTCTAAGAGAAAGAAACTACCGAAAGGCGTTTTCAATATCCTCCTGTTTCCCAAATCGTTTTTCTATAAGGAAATTGTCAAGTGAGCGGAAAACGTGAAAATCAGGAGAATATGGGGTATGATATAGAACTTCAACACCCAGTTGGTACAATATTTGTGCAGTTGTGTTTACTACGCGCGGTCTGACATTGTCATGCAAAAGAATAGGGACTTCTTTGTTGACCACAGTTGGTTGCTGTACCTTCAGTGTTTGGTGGACAATCTCCAATTCGTTACTGTATGCAGCGATAGTGGTACCCGGTCTTAGAAAACAATAGTGAATTAATTTCGAAGCAGACCACCAAACTGTGAACGTGATATTTGTCGGGTGTAAACTACGTTTGCCTCGAGGAGATTTATTTGCGTCTTTCTTTCTCTTAGAGATTCGGATTTGTATGTACACAGAATCAATGCTCTTGTGATACACTGGCAAAAGAGTATGGAACATTATAGAAATTATTCGAAATAAAAATATTTAATTAAAATGGTGTTATATTTTTTCAAAATGAACGGTTTAAAATTGCGAGAATTTTCAGGATGACCTAATAGTACTGTTCGTTAACTGTTTAACCAAACGATAGGAGTGTATCAAACCATGATAATCGATAAACGAGTTTGTCCTGAAACTTTTTGAACAGAGTAGTATAATCCAACTTTCAATCTTTAATGCTCGACTTACTCAACGCACCAGAGCATTTACATAACGTTCAACCATATTATACATTCTACAATCTCTTAATAACACGCTGTATCCAATTCTACCAACCCACCCAAGGCAACTCTAACAGGTGAACAGTTAATCCAGTTTCAATTGCTCAATTGTCACAGCGCCTTACATTAAGCCGTGCAAGAAGAGCGATCCAGATATCAACAAATGCATCGTCCGATCGATTGATCAGCTTCGTGATAAATTATCCTCTGGTATACCGGAACTGGAAGCACCTGCCATTGAACCTCTTCTTCTCGAGCAAATTCGCCTGTCGAGAGGACCAGTCGGCGCGAGGCTTGACGTCAATCTCACAGACTTGCAGGTAAATTTTCAGCACGAAACGGGAATGTTCCCTGTCGATTATGCTAATAATCGATCGAAAATGAATGTCGATAATGAAATCGATGTTTTTATGATTGCCTGATTTCTAATTTCCCCTATTATTTTTCTTTTTCTTGCTTGGAGAAGAGGAGAACGGAAAGTTGTCAGGTTTTTTGATTGTTCTGATATTTACATTGCAGGTTTGCTAATTTTTGTTTCGGAGGACTGAAGAGAGATAAATTGTTTTCGCGTGGAATTTCAAAGATTCTGGGATTTTTAAATATTGCATTTAAAACGACGAAGTACGAATAATTAGCTTTTAAAATGTTTCTCGCATTTCTTTTGCAAGTTTCTTGTTCCTGCGTGGTGGTTGAACGCTTGTGAAATTTTTCAATATTTTAGATTGCATCGAGTCGATGAAGCAGTAGAAATTAAATTTTATAGAGTTTCCCGCCTTTTTTCCTTCCTACGTTCTTCGCAAGTTTCTTCTTTACTTCAATATTTATTGAAAGAAAAGGGTTCATCGATTTTATTCGTTTCATTGTGACGCAAACAGGTATCTGGACCATCTACGTTTAAAATTCGCGACTTTAAAGCGGATGTCGATAATGTGGTGTTCACATTCAAGGTCAGCTTCGACAGGTTGAATTTCCAAGGAAAGTATCAGATCGATGCGAGAGTGCTTCTGTTGAAGTTGACGGGACAAGGAGATCTCACTGGGAGCTTCCGTAAGACATTAACAAATATTTTGAAGAAGTTTTGAATCAAATAGAAAATAAAGCTGGTCCGTTTTATTCTACTATTAAATTTCGTGGAAATATAAAGTTGGTGCATATGAAACGTCATTTTTTTAAATGAAACTTTAGATACACTGTGTTTCTTCAAAATATAATATATTTACCTCTCATACGCTCCTCGGGTGAAAATTCAGGTCTCTTTCCAGATCCTGTACTATGTTTCATTTCTGAATGTGTTGTAACTTCGTGTATTTGAAATTCACAAATTTAACTAACTTTAAATGAAACGTAGTGATTACTAATAACATTAAGCAAAATATAGAGGATCTCACCCGAGGATCTCTGTGTAACTATTTCTGAGGAACGTATGAGGATTAATTAAAATAATTTCCACAGGATTCTAGACACTTTTCCCAACAATTACAGTGAATGTGAAAAGTATTCGTACACCGTATAAAACAGAATAACATTTTTAAAATTGGACCAAACGACTTGAGTTCTTTAGAGAAGTTAGAAGGGTTAGTTTACTAGATGACGTGTCTAAAATTTTTTGAAAAAATTGCAATTTGTGGAAATCGCGAAGAAAATTGTGAAGGTCACTGTTTACAACTCTTTTATCTGAGCTTGTAACGAAAATTTAAAAAATACGTCTTGTAGATCTATGTGAATTATACACATGCTGAAAATTTCATCGAAGTCGTTTTCCCAAGTCGTTTGGCCCTATTTTAAAAAAGTTATTCCGTTTTATAGGGTGTACGAATAGTTTTCACATTCACTGTAACTAGTTTCGTTATTTCAAATTTATAAAAATCATTAGTCTCTGAATGAAAAGAATTGTTTGAATGCTTCTTTTACAGTGTCTCCATTTCGGAATAAATTATTTGTTAAGAAAATTGTTCAGGTGTTTGAAGAAACGGTTGTCTGTTAGAGAAAAGTCAAGTGAATAGGGGACGATGTGACAAAATTTAATATTCTTCACCGTGAATTGTTTTCAATAATTCTTTTTAAAGCGTTATCATGAATGGTCTTATCTGGCCTCCCTCTTGACTCTTTTTCCAATGAAAAGTCACGAATCTTGAATTTTGCATACGAACGTTGAAGTGTCCTTACATTTACATAACCTTCTCCAAATGTTAAATTTATATTTTCAGCAGTTTTTATTGTAGCTTTTCAAGTTTAAATTTATGTAAAAATATTACAAGTACATCCCGATTATTTATCACGTCAGATAATAATGTCCAAAAAATTGTATCATGAATTTGTTTACTATTCAATAGACATGTAGTACAGCAAATTTCTTCTTCTTGACTAGTGTGTGTAAAAATTTATGTTCGAATAAAACTGAATACGTCAATTTCAGCTGTTGAAAAAATGTCATTTTATTTGCACCACATTCTTATTATTACTTCTTTAAAATTTTCACTTTAAAAAATAATCGAGAAGACTATTTGTAAATTAAAAAAGTGTTGTTTGTCCTTGTCACTAATCAGATTTATTTTTACTTTTAAGACGACTACGATTCAGACGTCATTCTAAGAGCACGTAAAGTGTTCAGAGACAACGATACCTACCTGAATTTCGAGAGAATGAAGGTGAAGCTCAAAATCGGCAGGACGAATCTTCATCTGAGCAATTTATTCGGCGGTGACACGGTTCTTGGTGAGTCAATTCTTTTTTCAAACACTAAATAATTATCGTAGGGACTCGTAATTAGTAATTATAATTCCAGTTTGAATTGTTTTTCGTAAACGAATTAAACGAGTAACGAGTAATTTAAACAAAAATTTTCTTCATCTGTGAATAATTTGTATAAAAATGTTATTAACGAGAATACTTTATTAACGGACTTAAACTCTTTGATATCTAATACGTGATAAAATATATTGTCAGTGAAGTTATCATTGTGTAAAGTAGCTAAAATATAAATTCAGAAAGAAGACAAACAGCATTGAAAAAAATTAGTGTTTTTGTTAAAGTTATCAGCAGATGAACTCATATGTCAATAAAGTCTATCTAGGGCAATAAAGAAAAGATTATTATTTCTAAGAGCTTTTCTAGAAGTATTAAATTTAAAGAGTTCCAAAATTGCCGGGCAATCAACAATTTGATTAATAATTTTGAAAATAGACAATAAATTGCTTGAAAGTGAAAATATGCAATATATTAAGAATATTTTCACAATTGTGGCATGTTGTTGGTATTTGTTTATCAATCTTACCAGGAAATTAATTTAAAAGGTCCATTTCGTCATCAAAAATTTTTAGTAGAATTCACTTTCTGCTTTGCAAGATATGTTAATTGCCTTCTTTTATTTAACTCAGCCGCCGCCAGCCACGAGCTGTTGAACAATAACAACAACCTAATTTTGGACGAAATAACACCGGTACTGGAGACATCTTTGGCAGAGCTGTTCACAGACGTGGCAAACAAGATAACGAAGTCTTTCACGTACAAAGAACTCTTTCCAGACGATTAAATTGATTTCTGTAGAGGCAGCAATTTTTCCAAATCGACGTTTCTATATTTGTGAAAAATCAGTTTTGGTAGTCCTCTAAAAGATTTGTCCTTTTGATCGTTGATACGTGAAAACTGTTTATAATTAAGTAAGAAGAACAAGTCTGAGATTGTAATTTTTGGAAAATTTATTGTTTGTTTACAAACCAAACAGATATACCTGTGATTGTAATTCGAGATGAACGGAGAAACAGGGTTGGATGCTAAATGTAAGGTTTAGGTAAAGTAATTTGTATAATTTGTTATTTGTATCTATATATACATATATAACAGATAGTTAATATACAGCGTGAGTCACGTAAAACAAGCCTCCTAATTATCTTCACTAGCTATGGTGATACGAAAAAATTTTTATACGCAACTTAAATGGTTTCAAAGGGTGAATAAGATGGAAGAAATATTTTGTTATAAATGTCATTTTTTTTATTCTGTTTAAGGTCACCTATGTTTTTTTACATGAATCAATATCTACTTTTCTATTGTGTGTTGTAGCAGACATTGATGTGCATAATAATATAACCATAACCATATCCTAACCTTATTCTACCAATATGATTAATGCGTATAGTGGCTTTTAGTGAGCAGAGAAGAAACTATTTTACAGTTATAAACAAGTGAATTTCGTCGGTGCTATTGATCGTAATCTGAGCTTGTTGCGACTTGTCAACTAGTTTTACATTAATGTAGTATCGGGGCCTCCATACCCAAATAGGAAAACCGACAAGGGGCAATAGCGGGGGAGTAGTTGGCGTAGCGCGCATAGCCTCGGCTTGCTAAGCCGAAGGTCCCGGGTTCGATTCCCGTTAGGTCCCTCAGTATTTTTTCCGTTCGTTCCTACAAATGGGGGGCTCAGCCGGGATGGAGGCATCTACGGCTACACGAAGCCAGGAGGTGTGCGATGAAAACATGTTGGGGGTTGCACGTCTCCCAAAAATGTGTTGTTTCGGCTGTGTGCCACTGTGTGGGGGAGTGCACCCGAAAGTGTTGAGTTGAGTTGTGTTGCACCGAGGACATTCTAGGGCGAATGTTAGTTCAGGATGGCCGAGTGTAGTATCGGGGCCTCCATACCCAAATAGGAAAACCGACAAGGGGCAATAGCGGGGGAGTGGTTGGCGTAGCGCGCAAAGCCGAAGGTCCCGGGTTCGATTCCCGTTTGGGTCCCTCAGTATTTCTTCCGTCCGTTCCTACATTAAGTTGCTGCATGAGTTCTGTCCGCTAGAGTACCTACGTCTTCTACAAATACGACTTTCGTATACAGTTTGTACTTACCTCAAACTATGTATTTCCCATTGTTATTTATAACTTTTTCCCATCACTGTGGAAGTTGCATTATGCCTCTTTTATAAAAATCTTGGGATTTATCACTAAAAAAACTGTCTATTGCACTTTTTACGTCCTCGAAAGTTTTAAAGCTTTTTCCATTCAAATTATTTTGTAGTGCCCGGAAAAGATGAAAATCTGTTGGTGCCAGATCTGGGGAATATGGTGGGTGTGGAATAAGTTCCCATTTCAAGTCCGAAATTTTTTGTGACGGTCTCTTAATTTGCAGTTGCTGTTGTACTCTTTCTACTCGTTGCAGCCTCTTTTAGGCTCTGGAATGACTGTCAACATTGACGGATCCGTCGAAGCGATAACACGAGCAGAGTGTTTATATAATAGAAACGAAAAAGCGGACAGAACTTATGTAGCAACGTAATACATTAAAGTAAGTAAATGCAATCTAAGTTCTAATTGACAAAATAATGTATGGGTATTGCACTCTGTTTACGTTATACGTAGAGGCTTTCGGATTAAAGTTACGGGACGTGTATGTCCCACCGGGAATCAGGAGTAAATATTTATGGAAATTGGAATATACGTCATCACTATTTTTTTAAATATTTTTACTATTCTATATTATTTGCGTGGTAATGATAGAATGTCAAGGTTTATTTTATTATGGCAAAAAAGTACGCGGACGCCGAAGTGGCAGGTTTTTGAGTAGCACTGTCAAAGCCTCGAGAACTCACAAACAGGTACCCACGGAAGATATAAGATTTGGATCATTTTCCAATGTTTAACCATATTATTTTTACGTAAAATGCAATGTATATCTCTACTGTAACAAAAGCAGCAACTGTTTTTACAATTATCACAAAGAAACAGGATTAAAAATGTAGTTTAAGTACATGTTTGTGTTGTTTTCTATATTTCCGATCAATGCTGGAAAAAATTACCCCAAAGTTCTGGTGGGACTCCTTCGTCCCGTACCAGAAATCAATGATTTTCACGCATTCCAAACGAGTTGCCTCCCAATCCGAAATATAAAACAGACTATTTTAACCCTAAAAAAAATTTTACAAGTTTAAAGCACCCTCTAAAATTTTAAATCAAATGTGAAACTTCTTTTCATTTTGTACCATTTCTTCCATTACAAAAATTTGTCGTCCACCTTATTCACCCTTTGGAACCGTATAAAGTATGAATAAAAATATTCTCGTACCTACTACCATACCTAGGCAAATTAATTAGGTGGTCTGTTTTACGTGGCCCACCCTGTATATAAGCAAGTACTAGCTTTTAAAGCGTTTGGATTTTGGGGAGGCTTTAAAATAAATTATGATTGTACATTGTTAAGTATTGTAATGAAATAAAGGTGAAATATATTTGCTTAAGTTATATTTATTCAATGCGTCGTAATAGTTTGGAATAAATCACGCTGTAATAACAAGAAATGCAAGTAACAGATAATTGGAACAACGAATATAAACGTGTAAAATTTTATTCTTATTCGTCGAACAACTTTTCGTCAGTCAATTTGATCACTGGGATATTCTTTTCAACGTAACCTTTAAATTAACAAATTTATAGTTCTCTCACTGGTTTCTGCCAGCAAGAACGATAACTTGAATAGTATTATTAACACGTCCCATAAGTAATGCGATTGAAATAAAAATAAAAACGAGTGCCCTATTATAAAAAATGGTCCTCTCTGAAAATTTATCAACATACCTTATTACTCCTAAATATACACTAACAGTAACAGTTTTACAACAAACTACAATGTCTACTAAAAAATCTACAAAAAATTATTTCTCATCTTTCAATAATAATAATTGTGAATGTATTATACATTATCGACCAACGTTTGGGATCACCTGTCAATTTTCATCAATATGGAATCTGCTACTAATTCGTTGAAAAATTCTTAAAGTTGCAAACTATCTTCTGGAAATTTTTGTGTAATTTGCAATGCACAGTGATTCCAAATGTTTAGCCGGTAGTGTATATATTTATATAACAAAGTTTCTATTACGACTAATTAATCAATAATCAAAAAATACTGAAAATCCATTTCACTTCTCTAACTTACCTCATCACGGTAATTCATACAACGACAAAATAGCAAAGATTACCGTGATACACTCTCCAAGTGAAAACCATCTATCCATTTGCCAAGCAATTCTAATCGCCGTTCAATATTCTAACGCTCTCATCAGTAACACTAAGCTGCGTCTAACAACAAAAATACTTTCCTTCTCATTTTGAATGCACTCTACAATTACTTATGGGATCACCTATGCATAGTAATCGTGGACTAGGGAAGCAGGTCCTCCTTCGTGAGTGCCCCTAACGCTCTGGCGGCCAACGCTCTGCTCACAGTCGCCGCTGTGTCCTCGATAATCGGGCTGGCGATGTCCAGAACCAAGCGTGGATTCGAGTTGAAGAACGTCGCCGCTGCTTCAGCTGAAACGAAGAAATGAGACGGAAATGTGAGAAAGAGAAAGAAAGAGAGAGGAGGAAGAGGGAAGGAAAGTTTGACAAAAGATTTCCAGATGGTGATTCTTTTGAAAGATTTCAGGTTGTTAGGTCAAAGAAGGGGAAAACGAGGGTATTCGAGGGGACGCTTTGAATAGCTAAAGAGGTCGTGTATGTGTGAGATGTTTTTAAGATTGAAGAAGATTTATATGGAAATTGATGCTTTATTCTGTACCTACTGTAATTGAAATTTTAAGGAAAGATTGTACATTTGAATAGAAAATTTTTCTTATGATGGTTAAAATTTGGTAAATGCTAGTTCGTTAGAGGTTAATAATTGGTTAATTAACGAAGTAGGTACATTTAGAATTTGATGGATTGAGAAATAAATGTAGTTTACTTTATTTGGAAATTAGAATATTGAGGAATGTTCAAGAAAGAATAAACGGAGAATATTTACCAGCTACTGTGTGCTGGGAAGGTGCTTTTAGCTTGATGTTTCCGTGTCCAACGCGAATTTTCGTCACGAGCTTGTCGATATCGATCCTCTGTACGCCTTTTTTGTCTGTGACTTCTTTTCCCTGCGCGTTTACTCGCACTTCGGTGTCAGCTACAGCAAGGAATTAGGTGTAAAATATAAAATTCGAGAAATCAAAATCAAGTTTAAATTCGGGCATTTGAAACTTAGAGAAGTCGAGAATTAAGGAACTAAGAAATTCAAGAATTCGTAAATTTAGGAATCCAATTGTTCAAAGATTCAAAATCAAATTCACAGATTCAAATTCAAAGATACAAGTACAAATTCAAATTCAAATCAAATTTAAATGTAAATACAGTTCTTTAATTAAACATCAATATAAATTGCAATTATAGAATTTAATTAAAATCAATTTAACTTACAGTTGAATTTGAATTAAATTGGAATTTTTATTAATTTCAATTATATTCAAGAATTACAATTACAATACTCTACTTCCAGCAACTCTGCAGGTTGTTGCAGCTTTTTGCACCTTTTACACCAACGCCAATTTAACAAAAACCAAATACACTCGACAACCTAAATACTCACTGAAATTTCCCTTAAAACTACCAGCTCCGTTCAACGGCAGCAACAGCAATCTTCCCTGAACGTCGTAGTCACCGTTCACATGAATATGCGGCAGCTGAACCTTCAGACTGACAGACAAATCGTTTGGATTTGATTTCAGATCATCGATGACGAAGTTGGTCGCGCCGTACACCCGAATCTGACTCATGTTCGCCTTGATCTTCAACGCCTCCAGGTTCCTGTCTACCGTCAACGACGGCAGGAACAAAGGGTCCAATGCTGGCAGCTTCAACGCGGGGATACCTTGGGCCAGGTACGGCGTGATCGCGTTCAATTGCTTCAACACGCATCTGTCGTATTGTGGAAGGTCGGTGGTTCGCGGACAGGACTGCACACCAGGTGCTGCAAAGAAGAATCGACGCTTTAAGACGATGACAATGAACGTTTCTCCACAATGGCGGATGTTAGAGAAGGTTTTTTTTTTTATGTGAG